AGAGACGGGGAGAGACGGGGAGGAGACGGGGAGAGACGGGGGAGAGACGGGGAGGAGACGGGGAGAGACGGGGGAGAGACGGGGAGAGACGGGGGAGAGACGGGGAGAGACGGGGGGAGACGGGGGAGAGACGGGGAGAGACGGGGGAGAGACGGGGGAGAGACGGGGGAGAGACGGGGGGAGACGGGGGAGAGACGGGGGAGAGACGGGGGAGAGACGGGGGAGAGACGGGGGGAGACGGGGAGAGACGGGGGAGAGACGGGGAGAGACGGGGGAGGAGACGGGGGAGAGACGGGGAGAGACGGGGAGAGACGGGGAGAGACGGGGGAGAGACGGGGAGAGACGGGGAGGAGACGGGGGAGAGACGGGGGGAGACGGGGAGGAGACGGGGGAGAGACGGGGGAGAGACGGGGAGAGACGGGGAGGAGACGGGGGAGAGACGGGGAGAGACGGGGGAGAGACGGGGGAGAGACGGGGAGAGACGGGGAGAGACGGGGAGAGACGGGGGAGAGACGGGGGAGAGACGGGGGAGAGACGGGGAGAGACGGGGGGAGACGGGGGAGGGAGACGGGGAGAGAGACGGGGAGGAGACGGGGAGAGACGGGGGAGAGACGGGGGAGAGACGGGGAGGAGACGGGGGAGAGACGGGGGAGAGACGGGGAGGAGAGACGGGGGAGAGACGGGGGGAGACGGGGAGAGACGGGGAGGAGACGGGGAGAGACGGGGGAGAGACGGGGAGACGGGAGAGACGGGGAGAGACGGGGGACGGGGAGACGGGGAGAGACGGGGAGGAGACGGGGAGAGACGGGGAGGAGACGGGGGAGAGACGGGGAGAGACGGGGAGGAGACGGGGGAGAGACGGGGAGAGACGGGGGGAGACGGGGAGAGACGGGGGAGAGACGGGGAGGAGACGGGGGAGAGACGGGGAGGAGACGGGGGAGAGACGGGGGAGAGACGGGGGAGAGACGGGGGAGAGACGGGGAGAGACGGGGGAGAGACGGGGAGAGACGGGGAGAGACGGGGGAGAGACGGGGAGAGACGGGGAGAGACGGGGGAGAGACGGGGGGAGACGGGGGAGAGACGGGGGAGAGACGGGGAGAGACGGGGAGGAGACGGGGAGAGACGGGGGAGAGACGGGGAGAGACGGGGAGAGACGGGGGAGAGACGGGGAGAGACGGGGGAGAGACGGGGAGAGACGGGGAGGAGACGGGGAGAGAGAGCGGGGGAGAGACGGGGAGGAGACGGGGGAGAGACGGGGGAGAGACGGGGGAGAGACGGGGAGAGACGGGGGAGAGACGGGGAGAGACGGGGAGAGACGGGGAGAGACGGGGAGAGACGGGGGAGGAGACGGGGAGAGAGACGGGGAGAGACGGGGGAGAGACGGGGGAGAGACGGGGAGAGACGGGGGAGAGACGGGGAGAGACGGGGAGAGACGGGGGAGAGACGGGGGAGAGACGGGGGAGAGACGGGGGAGACGGGGAGAGACGGGGAGAGACGGGGAGGAGACGGGGAGGAGACGGGGGAGAGACGGGGGAGAGACGGGGAGGAGACGGGGAGAGACGGGGGAGAGACGGGGAGGAGACGGGGGAGAGACGGGGGAGAGACGGGGGAGAGACGGGGAGAGACGGGGAGAGACGGGGGAGAGACGGGGGAGAGACGGGGAGAGACGGGGGAGAGACGGGGAGAGACGGGGAGAGACGGGGGAGAGACGGGGAGAGACGGGGAGAGAGACGGGGGAGAGACGGGGGAGAGACGGGGAGGAGACGGGGACGGGAGACGGGGGAGAGACGGGGGAGAGACGGGGAGAGAGACGGGGGAGAGACGGGGAGAGACGGGGAGAGACGGGGAGAGAGACGGGGGAGAGACGGGGGGAGAGACGGGGAGGAGACGGGGGAGAGACGGGGAGAGACGGGGGAGAGAGGGGAGAGACGGGGAGAGACGGGGGAGAGACGGGGGAGAGACGGGGAGAGACGGGGGAGAGACGGGGGAGAGACGGGGAGAGACGGGGGAGAGACGGGGAGGAGACGGGGGAGAGACGGGGAGAGAGGACGGGGAGAGACGGGGGAGAGACGGGGGAGAGACGGGGAGAGACGGGGGAGAGACGGGGAGAGACGGGGGAGACAGGCAAGACCCGTGTCTATGGTTCTGTGCGCGCGTCCGAGCTCGGTACATGACCACGCGCGTTCGCGGAGCTGTCAAAGCAGCCACAGTTTCTCCCGGGGTCAGAGGTCAGAGAGGATGAGAGCCGCAGCAGAAGTCAAGACATTAATATATCTCACGTAAATCAAAGTGTTGGTTACTTCTGTTGCCATGTTGACGTACTAGAAACTAGTGAATAAACGCGCAAAAATAGTGTATACTTATTCGAATATGTCTTAATGGAAACGGCCGCTTTTGCGAATTACAGGTTTTTCGAATTTTGAAATGTATCGAAAAAGTTTTTGCGCATTATTCAATGGAAACGCAGCTACTTGTTAGTCCCATATGAACCAACTCTGAGGAGCACAGGGACTGGCCTCCTGCTGGTGTCCACAGTCAGAAATAAACATGGGGAGGCCACGTTTCAGGTTTATGCATCAAAAATCTTCCACTTCTACTCTGACCCTGTTCCAATCCAAGTTAAAAAACAAGTGAAGGCTTATATCTTAACTCTTTTTAACATATTGTATTCATGTAAGACTGCAATACCTAGTATCTTGTTTTTTTCAGCCTTTGAAGTTGCGTTGTATTAACTCTGCTTTTCAAAAAACTTGTCGGCCAGGACCCGGCTGGAGGTTTTGGGGATAAATATCCTGCCATTACAGAGCGTAATCGTGCACACAGCTATTGTCAACAACAAACGAGAGACAGACATGCTCCGGCTGCTTTGTTATTCACAGCACATTCAAAATATAAATGTGGTTTAATTGGAAAAGAAAAACAACTGCACAAGGAAAGATTACGCATAATCAAGATAATTATTCCCCTCTGTGTATTTGTGACTTTGAGGTGAGTATTCAGTGGAGCCTAATGAGAGCACCACCTAGGAGGGAATAAAGGACATGCAAATGAACGTCATAGATGAATCATATTCATCAGCAGGGATGGGCCAAACCAACACTGATGTGATTAATGGGAGCAAAGGCACAGTGGCTTTGAGGAGCTGCTGCATTTCACAAACTGTTTCAATGTGTTTTACATAAGGAACTGAAGCCTGTTGTAACGGAAACACTTTTCCAGGCAGCAACTTTTGTGCGATAATTGTTGGAGGCGATCATTGAGCCGATAATTTCACTGAACAAATATAGTTTCTCTAAAATCATGTGTTGTTATGACCTAACATCAGCCACACATGAGATAAGCAAGTAAGTAATCTTTATTTATATAGCACATTTTGAAAACAATCTGCTGCCCCCACAACCTGGCGATGGATAAAGCGAAAGAAAATGAATAGATGGCAATGTTTTGAGGACAAATTTCCCCTTGATAAAATATATTTTTTAATTCCATCCATCCATCCATTTTCTTCCGCTTTATCCGTTGCCGGGTCGCGGGGGCAGCAGTCTAAGCAGAGACGCCCAGACTTCCCTATCCACACACACTTCCTCCAGCTCGTCCGGGGGGACCCCAAGGCGTTCCCAGGCCAGCTGAGAGACATAGTCCCTCCAGCGTGTCCTGGGTCTTCCGCGGGGCCTCCTCCCGGTGGGACGTGCCCGGAACACCTCCCCAGGGAGGCGTCCAGGAGGCATCCTGAACAGATGCCCGAGCCACCTCAACTGGTTCCTCTCGACGTGGAGAAGCAGCGGCTCTACTCCGAGCTCCTCCCGTGTGACTGAGCTCCTCACCCTATCTCTAAGGGAGCACCCAGCCTCTCTGCCGAGGGAAGCTCATTTCGACCGCTTGTATCCGCGATCTCGTTCTTTCAGTCATTACCCACAGCTCATGACCATAGGTGAGGGAGGGAACGAAGATTGACCGGTAAATTGAGAGCTTTGCCTTTCGGCTCAGCTCCCTCTTTACCATAACGGTCCGATACAGAGACCGCATCACTGCGCACGCTGCACCGATCCGCCTGTCAATCTCACGCTCCATTCTTCCCTCACTCGTGAACAAGACCCCGAGATACTTGAACTCCTCCACTTGAGGAAGGACCTCTCCACCCACCTGCAAAGGGCAAGGCACCTTTTTTAATTGTTTATGTTAAATTACTGTATGTGGTTCTCATTAGTATCAGTATCAGTATGCGACATATATTGATTAAAACACAAAGCATACCAGAAATATTTTTTTCACTTGGTGCCTTCAAATGGCGCCACCTACATGTGAAAGCCAGACCTGCAAGACCTCTGAAGCTAAGCAGGGCAGGGCCTGGTTAGTACTGTGATGAGAGACCTCTAGGGACATCAGGTGTAACAGTGGGGCAGCTGTGGCTGTAAAGTACCAAACTGTCATTGTGTCCTTAGGCAAGACACTTTACCCATTTTGCCTAGAACGAGTCTGGTGTGTGTGTGGTCGGAGGGGCTGATGGCACATACTGGTTGCCTCGCTTCTGTCAGTCTTAACCATGACAGCAGTAGTTTATCGCCACAGTGTTTGGAATGAATGGAAAATGAAATGGGAAGCGTCTTTGAGTGTCCAGAAAAGTGCGATTATAAAATAAAAAAAATACTAAAAGATGTCACGTGATGCTTTCAAATAAAGATGACAGATTTAAAAGCAATATTTGTCAAAACCTTTAGGTGGAGAATATCTTTATGTGTTTGATAGTTGCTCATGTTCTTCCAGCACAATGACCACATGTTAAAGTGTTTTTATTGTCGTGTTGTTTTTGAGCTGTGGCTGTCAGTCATGGAGCTTATTGTTGCTGGACTCCATCTCATTGCCGCAAAACTGCTGCCATTACAACACAATGGAGCTTTCTGTGTGTGAAAGAGCGACAACAGGAGGTGTACTCATAAGAAATTAAAATTGTAGCTATTAACCTGAAATGCTTGCATTCAAGTGCAGTGATTTAATGTTCACTATTCTCCACTGCCGCTGACATCGATCACCCTAAATGAAAGCAAAACATTTTCCTCCAGGTCAATTTGACTAATGAAGCCTTGTGAGCCAAAGCCGAGCTCTGAATCGTCCCTGTATCTGCCAACTCCTCCATTTCTCCTTCTCATTAAGTCATCAGTGCAGTCATCCACCTTGAGCCGCACGTGTGAGCAACACCATCTTCACCCGCCGCCAGGCACGACGAAAACTCACCCAGACTTACATCTCTACCTTTTATACATTAGTTTAGCTTCATTTTTCTACATGCATAAAAATCAATCAATCCATCAAAGTATTTTTGCTGATATTATTATTATTATCATCAATTGACTACAAGCTTCTCAGCATCAGAGGCTACTGGAAAGTATCCAGTATGAAAATATAAACATAAAAACTATTTTGAACACAGAAATGTTATAATGAATGCTAGTTACAGTTAATTCTAGGACTGCCGTTCATTTGAGTATTGTGATCCAGCGCAATTATAAGGTGGCACATTTTAGGAGTTAAAAAAAATATATATATACATATAAGATAAGAAATAAAACAATGTAGTATTATACAGGTGGCTCCTGTATCCTCCTGGACGCCTCTCAGAGAAAGCGGGCCTAGCTGCCTCGGTAATGCCTAGAAATTCTCCCGGATGAGCTGGAGGAAGTGTGTGTGGAGAGTTTACTTTTGGCATCTCCTTAGACGGCTGCCCCTGCAATGGATAAACCGGATGGATGGAATTGTACAGGTTTGTGTGCTTTACAGAACTCTATTGAGTTACAGGAATGGAAAAACTGAGAGCTCTTATATTGTTAGCACCAACTACATTTTAGTGTCTAGTTGTTTGAACATATGATGAACTGAGATTGCAGCTGAGATCAGTGCGCCCCAGAAACAAACCCTTGGAGACAATAACAGGTTTGTATTTGTATCTTTTTAATCTTGTCTAAATGAAATGAATGAGGCTATAACATACGTACTATATTGACAGTAAATAAGATGACCCACTTCCATTTTGATATGTCCATTAACTTATATGCGCCGTTCTAATCACAGTGCACACGTTGGACCTAAGCAGCCTATTCTTAAACACCACCCTTCCATTTGTTGATTATTTTGGCATTCTGTCTCTCACGTCAGGAGGCTGCTGCTGCCAGTGAACCCGAGTCATTTGGAAACATTGAACAAACCTGGGACGTCATTGTTTCCAGCTGAACACGTTTCTCACCACGCAGCTGCTAATAACCAATCTCAGGCCAATTTAGATCAATTAACTAATCAAGGTTGTTTGGGAGAATGGAGTTCAGAAAAATAAGTGAGTGAGCTGCAGTTTGTTTTGATAACAGACTATTTTTACCGCAAAGGGGTTATGGGTAAACTGACCTTGGCAGTTAGTGATGACAATACATGGTCCTGTGGCCGCTCTTTCCTGTGCACCGGTAATGGGCTGGTCCATACAGAGCACTTTTCCAGAACATAACGATTGGGAAGAGTGGCTCAGTACAAGAGAAAAACAAACGATATTTCTAAACACTGTCATAGGTGCAGTCGATTATGGTACAGGCAACAAATACAATATATAATATAAATCCAGACAGTCACCCTTCTCCCACTGATGTTCAATACAAGATGTGCACTTCTCAATGGGTGGAAGCTACAGTGAAAAGTGGCGTCTCTCTGTCCTTGGAGCAAAAAGTAAAAAAAATATAAGAAGTAAAACATCCTTGAGTCAGGTGTTTTTTATTTGGAATTTTGTCGGTTTTTTGCCAAGGAGACAAAGTTTGGTCTTATTTCAAGCACCAACCCAATGTGTTATTCAGTCCTAGGAAGACATTTCTTGGATTTTTTGGTCTCTTTTATAAGATAAGATTAGATAAAGATAAGATAAACCTTTATTAGTCTCACAGTGGAATAATTTCAGTGTCATTGTTGCGCACACTACAGCAGAGAGAAAAATAAGAGCACTCAGATTGCACACATCAAATTGAGTCTTTTATTTAAGATAAGACAAAAAGATTAAGATTAAAATGAGAAACTCTGGGCTATAATTGCACTTAGTTCGGAAGTATTTACAGATGTCTATATTGTACATTAGCAGCGGAAAATATGAGCAGAATAAACATCAGAAATAATATCAACAGGTAAAGTGACTTGAATGGGAGAATTATCAGATATGTAATAATGCAGTAGTACTGATTGACAAGTAAAGTGACAAAGTTACTAGTGAATTATCAGTGACACTTGTGCAGACTCAGCAGTTCCTGTTACACATTCTCATTGTACAGTCTGACAGCAGCAGGAAGGAAAGACCTACGGAACCTCCCCTTCACACAGCGAGGGCGAACAAGACATTATTATGTTTTTTTTGTTCTTCTATGCCAGGCATATGTATGATAGCAATGTTAATAAGACATTTATGATTCTATTGGAAAGTCCTGTTTTAAGACAATGACACAGGATTTAGAACCTGGTGAAAGTGCACAAAGACCTCTCTGCGTTGGCAGCTGCTCATAACTCGGCTTTACAGTAGATCTGAAGAAAATGGGTGGCGTAGACAAGTGCAAAAGTGTACTATATGTTATGTGAGATTTTTACGGACCTGTTTGATAAGGGCTCGGAGTGCTCACCATGCAGTCTGATGGAGTTGTGAACAGTGACAAAGCTAAGCTGCCGTCATGGACACCTTTCAGCAGACGCTTAGCACTCCGGTGTTTGATCAGAGCAGGATTAGCCTCAGTCTGCCTCTGCCTGGGTAAAGCAACTCGGTGATAAGCCTCCAATTCTGACTCTCATGCGAAGTCTGCAATGACGACCGTTTTGTCTGCTCTGTGAATGAGAATTTTAAGCACCTTATGTCTCTCGACAACTTCAATTGTTGACAGTGTCGTCAATAAAAAAAAAATTGTATAGAACTAAATCACAACAGTAGTTATCTCTTTACAAAAACTGAGAGAATGAAACAGTGCAAACACAGGAAATTATATTTTTTTTATATGGCAAGTGGAGGCGGCTACGCGCTCATTAAATAATACAATTAAATAAAAGAAAGAAAAAGTCCAGCATTGTCAGGGCAGAGTGCCCAAAATAAAATAAAAAGCGCTCTAAAGCTTGGTTCACACAAGACGATTTTAAAATTGTCGGCCGATTTTTTATCTCTGCCGACACAGAGATAAAAAAAAATCATGGGTCTAACCACTTTGGTCGCGATGGACTCAGGAGCACAGGTGAACACACAAACAGACACGGGAGAGAAAGAGACAGGGGACAGAGACAGAGACAGTCCCCAGCCTACAAATTAAAGTAGTCAAGTTAGCCAATGATCAATCACAAAAAAAGTGTCAGCGTGTGCAGCTAAAACCTACTTCTCTATGGCAAATGCTGAGCGTGCACCCTTGACAAGTGACGGTTTAAAGGCCCAGACCCACGGCCGGCTACGACACACTCGGACCCCAGCAACGAGGGCGGCCAGGCGTCAAAGCGACAGGACAGCATGGCTACACAGAAGCAGGACCTGCGGGGCACAATTCCACAGCACTACAACAACAATTAACATTAGTGGTTCCAACTTAGAAATATTAGAATGACCACTAGAACTCTACTACCTGGAGCAGGAGAAGGGCTGGCCCGACAACACAGGAGACGGAAGTGCAGAGGTAAACAAAGACGTAACTCTAGGCTATCTATACAATCATGCTCCCTCTGGTGGACATAAATATGGTGGCCAAGTCCAGCTTGCCACATTTAAAAACACATAAAACCCAATGGGGGCGGATCCCGGCTCAAAAATGTCCGAAATGATGTGTGCTGACATACTTGCAATACCACCCGGCCGGTGGTGGTGGACCCGGAATAAGAATTAGCCAATGCTAATGTATATATTAAATATATTATTATTATAATATTTTCCAGCCCCCGCGACCATTTGTAAACTGCCTATAGAAGCCAAAAGTGGAACGGCGGCGATAGGCGTGGCTACGTCCGTTATTTACATAATCTATGATAGAACCATTGGTCCATGAGTCCACAAATGTTGTTGGATGTCGAGTGTCCTGGATCATCACCACTGTCCTTGGACCCTCCTTCATTAAGGAAAAACTCTAAAAAACCCAGTGGGAGAAAGTAAGCCCCACAATTATCTGCTCCCACGGACAAACGGGCTATAGGTCCAATACTCAGGCAGCTCCCAGGAGGGGAGGAAGTGCACTCCTCTTGGGCCGGAGAAGACAGTCCATAGGTGCCGATGGAGGAGGCCCGGTTTAGGGGTCATAGAAAATGACAAAAACTCACAACTGAATGCCATGCTCACCAGATGTAATAGCTCACCAAAGCAATGCACAGCTGGTGAGCCTGTAGTCAGGTGGTGATTTGGTCATTTCTGCTGTCTGTTCTTTTTGGACGGACTTAGGACGGGTGGATGTGTGGCAGGGGTTGATCAAAGAGAATGTTGTCTTTGTCTTTCCTCTGATGCAAACACACTCAGTCTCCCTCAGTCAGAGCATCTGTGATAGGGTGAGAGAACCTTTATTCGTCTTAGGAAGGAGGAAATATTAGGAAATATGTTGCAACACACAGCAATGGAAATAGTAAGCTCTCAAACCAAGACGAATACATGAATACAACACAGCATTTCCAATATTATAGAAACGTGCAGTTCTGTTCTACAGGTCATGTGCCGACTTTTACTGGCATTGGGGTCAAAGTGTGTAAAAACAGAGGCCACCGCTGCAGCTTTTGAAGGGTCAATAAAACTACAAATGCATTTAGAAAAGCCACTGAGACTCTCTGTTCATTTAGCTTGTGTAATTTGCAAGTTTATCCCAGTTAATCAATACAAGGGCCATTAGGCTTAACAAATCTGCTCTGCCTGTAAACCTTCAGTGGGTCTTGTTTGGTGACCGGGGATTTCAGAGCAACAGCTGCAGCTGCAAAGCCACCGTTCAAAGAGTAAAATGCTTAGAATGTTAGCATTTTAATTTATCCAACAGCCCTCTCCACCAATGATACAATAGAGTTAGCTTTAAGGTACCATATGTAGCTTGTGCGGGTATGGTTATTATTTATAAACAAAATAATACTTATTCTTACTTAATCAGTTTAGCTGAGTGTGTTACTTGCTGTCGCTGTAGAAGTTAACGGACTTATGATTTAAGGCTTTGACATAGTTTATCATGAATGTTCTTAACCCTTTCACTCCTTAAAGAAAGCCATTTTGCCATTTTTTTTTTCTTTTAATTGATTTTCTAAAGATGTAGGAGCCCCAATATCACAAATAATGTGCTTTTAGAGGTTTTTTTTTATTTTTAACCCTAGTTTTTTGTTAACAATAGGCCTTTACCAAAAAGTTGACATGCAGTTTAATGGTGAAAGTGACTAAAACTACTGTAAGTGTGATGCCCCAAAGAGGTAGATTGCAGTTCCAAGCATGATTCAAGTCGATATAGTGACTCAATAAGCGATCTACCAAATGGTTAAGGGTTAATTTGCTCCAGGTTAATATTTTTGCCCTGGTGCAAACCTCAGTGCTTTATGACCTGTGACTCACTGCACGCTCAAACGTCATGTTTGGATATTGGAAACAGCGATCAACAAAGATTAAGTTTCCTGTTCTTACTTATTTAGCACTTGAGAATACATTTGTAGATGAGGTTATTTGGTTCTTTTACAGCAGACAAATGTAAGATCGCAATGTTATTACCTTGACAAGATTCTTCGGCAAGTCTCTCTAAGAAACGCCAAAGGAAGATGAGTTTGCTTTTGTAATATGTCAAGGTGAAAACAGCTTACATTTGTCTGGTATGCTGGAGAATACTTCTGCAACAAAGAACACATTATTAAATCTATATTTATATATATTTAAGCACATATTTTTCTCTGACTGATAAAATGAATTAGCCTGGTTGTACCACACCATAGTACAAATGACATTTCGTACTAAGGTCTGGATTTGCTCCATTGAGCTCCGTTTACAGATGGGAGGGGTTAACTCCTTTTGCAGATTGAAACGATTGGATCTGAGTTTACCGTGACGTATGTAGTGCGCCCGAGTGTGTTGTTAGCATTTAGCATTTAGCCTAGCCATCTCCTTTGCCACTAACGGAGCCCGTGGGGAGTAGCGCCACAATCTTGACCAGCGATTACATTTGCTAAACATTCCTCTTGCTCCTGCTTCAATTTCTTGATATAACCAGACCGGATTACTTTACTATCGCATTCTTCGCCATTGCCAAACTACAACCTGCCCGTTCGGCACAAACTCTTGACGTCACCGGCACCGACCTACAACATCCGCCTTCCGCGCTCTCTGAGTAGCCGGTTGAAATGCGACCGATTGTAATTGCTAACACAGGGACCAGACCCAGACGTTACATGCAGTGAAATGATGATTGAGCGGACTGTAAGGATGGCTATGGCCAGGCTAAAAAATAATGGCTTTTGTACAGAAATATACTAGTGAGGGCTCTGGATAACTACTGTTGTGATTTAGGACTATACAAGAATAAATTGAATTGAATTGAATTGTTTGAATTTTATTTGAAATATCATTCTGAAACTCATGGATAGAACAGGGATTTGTGTGGCTGTTACCCCCCTCCCCTTGACTATGGTGCAATATGGTGTAACCTGCTGCACATTACTGATAATTACAGTACTTGTTGGACTATAGGCCGCTACTGTTTATTTTCTGTAAGTAAATAAGTAAGTAATCTTTATTTATATAGCGCATGTCACAGACCAGAGTCACAAAGCGCTTTACAACACAGAGATGGGAGCGAGGTCGCCAGTCCAGGAGACGCATGCCAGACCTATTGTACATGTTTTAAGTTGTAGGGGAAACCTACGCAGACACAGGGAGAACATGCAAACTCCACTCAGAAAGGCTCTGTTCCGACCAAACCCAGGACCTTCTTGCTGAGAAGCGAGAGTGCTATCCACTCAGCCACCGTGACTAAATGTATATGCATGTGGCCTAAATGTCATTTAATTTTGTTGATTTGGACACAGCTCTATCGGCTGTTGAATCCATCTTTTTTTTTTTTTTTTTTTATTTGATAAAGGGGGAACAATACATATTAATGAACATTTTTACAAATGTAAATATGCCAGATTATAGCCTTAGGCTATAATCTGGCATATTCTGGCACACTTCTTAGTGTGTTTATGTGAACAGCAGAGAGAGACGACACAGGAAAGTGCAGGGAAATACTCAGGACTTGTTTATATGTGATTAGGGCTATTGTCAGAACAGAGTTTAATAACTTGGACGTTTAATGTCAAAATAGATTCCAGAGAGCTTTGATAAACACAAATCTATTGGCTTTTTTGCTCTTGTAGCCGTCTATCAGCTGTTGGATAAGTGTTATATTACAACATAGAAACCTGGAGCTTATATATGGGCCAACTGTACCTTCTGATAAAGATTTAGCAGGTGTGTGGAGTGTGTGTTCTGTACACACTCACACCTCCTGTAATTTGTGTTAATTGTTGTATGAGATGTAACAAGGTCTCGAGCAGCCATCTTCCCGTGAACCCACCACCTGCAGGAGGATCAGTGAGGGACTGGTGCTATGAGCATTGGGTGGCAGCTCTCATTGCCATCCCCCCCGACCCAGAAATGGACTAATAAAGGGGTTGAAAATGAATAAATGAATGTAAAAAAGTAATTACAACTCAACCAGTGGTCGTCTTTCAACAACAAACTAAGCAGTAAAAATAACACTCTTTGCTCCTTTTACAGTTTTGTGTAAGAATATTGCATTAACGTTCATGTCTTTTTCCACAATGTTTTAACTTTTCTTTTAAGTGATACCAGTAAATGTACATAGCATGACTAAATTAGGTCCTAATTCTTTTATTCTGTGGTCATCTGGACACATTATCTATCCTGCCCATGTCTTCTGGCCGAGCACGATGTAATCATAGTGTCACATAGAGTACATTTCCAGAGTTGAAGGACACTGATCAGGAGGGACTGACACATCCGCGGGCTTCAGCTGCAGCTGATTTGAACTGACTCACTGAAGTGAGCTGGCATTTTCTGACATTTACACGAGAATCCATGCCACTTTCACAGGTACTTTACCTCCTTCATTCTAAAGGCATGAGCTACTACCACAACACCCCATTTTCCACTGCAGTTCTATGAATTTTTAGCAAACGTTGATATTCATATAGTCTGGGTGTAAGCTGCTTTCCTCCCAACCAAGCAGCACAAGATCCATTTGTGCTGGAAAACTTTTAAAATGCCATCTTCTCAGTATAAAACATCAGCCATTTTAAGCACACGCTTCTTAGGAAACACAGTAGTAATCCACAAAAGCAAAAACATTTTGGTCTTGTTTTGTTTTTTTGTTCTGTTTGGGGTTAAAGCGTTTTTGATATTGTTAGTGCGGTGTGCAGTATAACAAGTTGTATTTTGTTTTTCAAATGTAATTGAACTGTGCAAAAGACAAACTCATATTTGGTTCTAACCCCATTCACTCATACAGTACGCACACTCAGACCCTTGACAAAACACTCTCTGACCCTACACCTCTCTCCCATCACTTGAAATATTACTGGATAGTTTAAAATGTACATTATGTCAACAAAATGTGTGATAGTTTGAATGTGTTTCTTCATCGTCAGTTTGTGTCAGTTATATCGGTCTATGGTTTGTACTTTATTTATTTACCTGTGAACTACTGTACCTGCAGGTCAACTGTGTCAACTTGGAAAAATGTTTTTTGGCGCCACAGTAAAATAGATACAGTAGATAAATCAAGCCATACTTAAGCGTTCACAGTGCAAGAACAAAGCCACAGTTTAGGTCCGGATTTTACAGCACTAGTTTGTTGAATTGTCGTTGAGACAGAGGAAGATAGTCCTGAGGATTTACCTAGTGTCTGGAAGTAAGCTCTGAGAGAATGACCAACTGCTGGGCTTTAACAATTCCCTTTTCACAGCAGAGGGGAATTTCACTGAAAAGGAGATTAAGGAACCTCTAATAAAGATCGAACACATAAGGGTGAAATTCAGGTGGGTACCAACATTTTTTATATATTTTATGCCATTGATTATTCTAATATTCAAGATATCAATAATAACTATATCAATGGCATCAAAGTCACAGATGCATTTTTTAGTTTGAATTTGTGTTATCATGGTTTACAGCTTAGAAAAAACTATCGTTCTTTGGAGCATGCTGATGTCACATGAACACAAACTATTAGAAATCCTCTAATGTCAAAACCAGAAACACATTTCAAATAAATATATGTATTGTTTCAATCATAATCGTCATTTGGACACATAGCTCCACCAGACATCTGCCAAAAGGACAAAAAACAGCAATAAACTTTCCAAAAGCACAGTCACATCACGTTGTGCAAAAATCTCCTGTTTTAAAAATAATATAAAAAATATATATTAAATTATGTGTACCCCTGATATACAGATTATATAATCAGGTGCACTGGTCACAAACCAATCTGAAGTAGAAATGACGGACGGGAAGTGGTGCTGTGGCCTCTCTGCTGCGTCTGGAGCAGGGGAAAACTGACAGATTTACAGCAAAACACTATCTTTAAAAAACCATCTTAGAATCAATGACTTCATGTGTGGTTCAACTTTGCTTTCCATTCGGTCGCCATGGCAACAATGAACTCTATCGCCATGGCAACAATGGAATTAGTCACTGATAGAATGACCTCATCTCAGTTCCTCTGTGTGTGTGTCTGTGAGGACTCTCTTCTGGGACGGATGTCGGACAACAAGCCCAAGAACAAAATGGCGTCTAAAAGTGGCTCTACGAAGGAGACTTCTAAAGCACCGACAAAGGACACAAAGGAAAACTCCACTGAGAACATGAACGTGTTTGCGGCGCTCGCTGACTACAAACTGGAGTTCAAAAGCTCTCAGAAGAAACTGGAGAACGTGCAAGTGGGACTAGAGCGACACAGAAGGAAGCAGGAGGCCATGAGCGAGCAGATTAAAGGCCTTACGCAGGAGAAGACCACGCTGCAGCAGAACTGTGACAAGCTGAGCGGACGATGTCGCTACTTGGAGGCGGAGTTTAACAAAGTCACCAAAGAGAACTGTCATGGCCAGATTCCCAGCATCAGGAGATTGTGTGATTATGTTGTGTAGCTGACAGATACATTTTACAGTTTCCCGATACTGCAGATTGTATTCCCATAACTCACTTTTGCATTACACAAAGACTCTATTGTCTTCAAACACAAAGGGACATTCTGCCATAAGACTCCGTGTGCTTTCTGTTGCTTTCCGCAGGTGGGCTAATCTCAAAAGTTCTCGCTGTACCTTATGTATCGGTCTCTGCCCATCTACCTTATCTTTCTTATCTGCAGCTGTCTACGACTCATCCCATTTTGCCCCATCCGTGACGTGTGCTCATTGTTCTCTGATTCTTGTCCAAGTATATTATCGAATGTGTGGAATGAGGAGCGCCAGAGAGAGACGGTACAGGCGATCGCATGGACCGCTTCTGTCTGACACTTCTCTGCACAGAAATGTCATAGATTGTATTCATCACCTCTGTAAATAAACTGCACAAAAGACAAGTCCTGTTTCCTCTCGGATTTATTCATTTGAAGCATTGGAATTTCCAGTACAATTTTGGTGTCAGAAGTGGTCTCGAAGGTGGCCGTTGAAGCGCACGGGTCCGGATTGGGGGCTGATCACCCGGGATTCCAATCAATCTCGTCGCTTTCCCATAACTCTGGACGGGCGGACTGACCGGACGTGCTGGGTTTCAACCGTCGCCTCTCGGGATTTTCACACGAAACAAACGGTAACTTGTTTAATATTTGACTTTCTATGCTTCTGTGGTGAATCCGAGAGGCGCTTGTGCAGTGTGAGTGCATGTGGGAGTGCCAACTGGTGATGGAGCTGTTCATTCTAATCCAGGCTGTTGGAAATCCTAAGTTAGAGTCTTAGGCTGAAGTTCGAGTCTTCAGTTGTGACACAGGTTAGAGTCCTGTCTAAAATCTAAGTTCAATCTTAGTCTGGGGTTAGAGTCCCCGGTTGTAGTACGGGTCCAAGTCCTGTTTTGTGCAAAAGGTTCAAGTCCTGATTGCTGATAAATCCTGGGTTCGAGTCCTGGGCAGAGTTCGAGTCTCTGTTTGTATATCTGAGTTAGAGTCTCAGATTCCAGCCATGTGGTTTAGAAGAAAAAGCACAGAGTCACCAGTCTGGGACTCACCATGCATGACTTTGATGAGAAAGAAACATGGTGATGAATTTAGGACATGCGTTGAAATGTGGGTGGCTGACTTAGGCTTCCCCAAAAGTGGGTCTTTCAGTCTAAACCAGTTGGACAAAATCAAATTACAATTGGATGAAAAAGAGGCTCTACTAAAAAAGGGAAAGACAGTGCGTGTGAAAGATCTGAACTGTCTGGATGAGAACAAACGGTGGCTGAATGTGTGGATGGCAGAGGCAAAGTTTAGGGACGGCAGACAGAAAAAGTCTGACTCTATAGAAAATTTAGAATCTGCAACTGACTCTTCTCCATCTGCTTTTTTTTCAAGCATTCCACCAACTCGGAGCCCACATCAGTATGGACGCAGGAACTCAAGACACGATTGGGCCCCGCTGTACCCCGCTCTTTCACCCCCCCAGTATCAACGAGACCCGACAGCAGCAGACCCGACAGCAGCACAAGGAGCAGCAGCAGCGGCAGCAGCCCTCCCTCCGCTGCTCCTCTCACCGCCAGAAGCCTCTGCCCCTGCCCCTCCCCTCCCGTCTGGAGCAGGGCACAGTGAGGCTGCTTCTTCCCCGCTCCACTCTGTGACACATGGTCTGGGCAAAATCACTCTAAATGACAATGGCATGACGCTGAGAGATGGAAAGACTTTACAAGCACCTATGATCGAATACCCCGGCCCACAAGGAACCCCCGTTCTGGTTCTGCGTCAAATGGACCAGGAGATGAAAGACTCTGTTAAAGACTGGCCTTCTCCACACCGAGGAGGTGATTCAATGGCAGACGCATTTCTGGCCTTTTGCAAAGCATGGCGTCCTACGGGCGCTGAATTTAAAAAGCTTCTCCTCCTGTATTTAAAACCGGAGGGCTTCGCCAAGATAGAGCCGGAGGTCCATCGACAGTATTATGAGACTCTGCGGGCTCAGCAAGCGGAATGGACAGACGCGAATGCATGGGAGACATATATTGCCAACATAGTGACGGCTCTCAAGCGTGCGTTCCCAGTGAAATTTGATATGGGAAAGATTAAAAACTGCTCTCAGAAGACAAGTGAGTCAGTTGTGGACTTTTATCATCGTCTTGAGGATGTGTGCGTGGCCCACTCTGGTAGTCAAAAGCCAGAAAATTACACTGCCGCAGCTGAGACCAAATTCGAGGTGATCTTTAAGATGGCGTTCTGCGAGGGCCTTCCCCAGCCGATTCAAGTCGCACCGAAACAGACATTGGTTGGGGGCTGGCAGGACAATCGCATCCCAGAAATCCTCAGACACGCAAAGCATGCAGAAATAAAGAACACTGAGGAGAACGCTGTGAAAGCTGGCGCGCAGGAGAAGGCCCAACATCAAGCCAATCTCACGTTGATCAAAATGACGGGCAGACAGTTCCGCCGTGGAGGCAGAGGACGGAGAAGAGGTGGCAACGGACATTTCGAGAACAATCGTGACCATGACGACCAAGATAAATGTTTCAACTGTGGTGAAATTGGACATTGGAATCGTGACTGTCCCCAGCCACGGCGAGATGCGGGACGCTGGAGTGGACGTGGACGGGGTGCGAGACCGGGGGACCAGCAGAGATTTTCTTCAGATTGACATACTGATGCGGGACCCGAGACAGCAACTGTACAGATGAGTAATGCACACACTCTTACACACAACACACTAACTGCTAACGGCAACGAAGACGCGCTTGCTACTGATTCACTGCTTGGCTTAATTGAGGATAGAATTAGGGAGTTAGAGGACGGTGACAGGCCCAAAACAGGGACCTACTTAGCTTATGAAAATGAAGCTTACAGGAAAATGCCAACTATTGTTTGTGAAATTGAGGGTAAACCGATCACTTTTTTAGTCGACTCTGGTGCAACCCACAGTGTGATTCAGACAAAGGAGCTCTCAATCAAATTAAGTGGCAGAAGTGTTTTTTCCACAAGTGCGAGTGGACAAACGGTACCGGAATCTTTCTCTGTTCCGATCAAATGCACTTGGGCAAACGAGCGTAACCTAGCAACAGCAAAACATTAATTTTTGATGTCTGACCTTTGTCCTGTAAACTTGTTAGGCCGTGACCTCATGATAAAATGGGAAGTTGTGATCATATCGACAGCAGAAGGCCTTAAAATAGACAGAGGTGCGTGCGCGACTAATTTTGTCAAAATAAACACAAATTGTCCTATGTCTGTATATCAGTGGTGGGCACACCCCGCCAGCGCCAGCTATTTGATGGAGGCTACATCTCCATTTCTTAATCCAAAATCTGATATATTGAAAGCTGAGGACCTGCATTGTGTGTGTCATTTACACCATAGCCCTGATTATGAATTTGAAGAAACGTTTAAACTGGGCTTAAATGACTGCTTGATTATTGCTGACGTGTACTTTGATGATTTCAAATGTGCTGTTTCAGTAGAGTTAAGCCAGTCACAAAAACAATGCTATCGTCTTGAAAATTCAAGTCCTCATATTTCAATAGCAAAAGCTAAAACTGACGCATGGCAAACCTTAGGCCTTTTTGTACGCAGATGTACTTTGGCAAAGGATTGGCAGGCGTGTGACCGTGGAGAAAATGTGTTTTATTCACAATCTGTTTGCGCGTATAAAATATCTCATACAAAAACAGTTGATGTGCTAAATTCAATGCTTTTGACGTCTTCCCATAATGACAATGACGGACCAAATTTGACTCTGACTTCTTTGACTTCTCCGCTTGAGATTTCACCTTTGTTATCACAAGTACCGGACAGGCTGTGGGCAAAAAGTAAGACCAAGGCAGCGTCAGTATCCTTTGAGGCAGGAGGCCATAGAAGGAATTACACCGGTTTTTGAATCATTTCTTGAGGCTGGCATTATTGTCCTATGTGAGGATTCACCGGTGCAAACTCCTATCTTTCCAGTGAAGAAAATTAGACCAGCAGATAAACCCACAGAGTGGCGCTTTGTACAGGATTTGAAGGCAGTCAATGCTGCGATCATTTCTCCTGTCCCTAATGTCCCAAATCCGCACACTCTTTTGAGTCAGATCCCAGCAGATGCAGAGTGGTTTTCTGTGGTTGACCTGTCAAATGCTTTCTTCTCTGTGCCTGTGGACAGGGATTCACAATTTTGGTTTGCCTTCTGTTTTAATGGAAAAAGATATACTTTTACCAGACTTTGTCAAGGCTTGAACTCAAGTCCCTCGTTGTTTTGTGAGGCTCTGAACCACAGTCTAGCGTCTCTTGTGTTGACAGACGGGACTGTTTTGATTAATTATGTGGATGATTTGATGATTGCTAGCCCCACAAAGGAACAATGTGAAGAGGACACAATTCAGCTTCTCCAACACTTGGCTGATGAGGGTCACAAGGCTTCTGTTTCAAAGTTGCAATTTGTCAAACAAAATGTTGTGTTTTTGGGTCACATTATAACCCCTGAGGGAAAAACCTTGTCACAAAAGCGTGTGACGGCAATAGTTGATGCTCCGAAGCCCTCAAACAAAAAGGAACTTCTTTCATTTTTGGGAATGTGCTCATATTGCAGACATTTTATCGCCAATTTCTCTGAGAAAGACAAGCCTTTACGTGATATGACTGTGGGAAGGAACATGTGTGCGTCCTCTCCCCTCGTGTGGACTCCAGAGGCAGAGCAGGCCTTTACAGACTTGAAAATTGCTTTGCAATCGACTCCAACTCTGGGAATCCCAGACCCAAATAAACCTTTTGTTCAGTTTGTGGACGAGAGATGTGGATGCATGACATCAGTACTTTTGCAAAAACATGGAGATCTGTTGCTTTGATACTACAGGAGCAGAAATCTTCACATCTTTCTGCATCTCGGTGGCTTCGATATCATACAACGCTCTTGGGATTGCCACATGTGACTGTCCATAAATGTTCTACACTCAATCCTGCCACATTGTTGCCCCTCCCTGGAGAGGGCACACCACACTCATGCATGGCAGAGCTGAATCGGATCTGTACTCCAAGACCAGATCTTTCTGATACACCATTGACTAACCCTGATTTAATTCTCTATGTAGATGGATCAGCATATCGAGACCCGGACACCGGAAGGTCGCATGCTGGATACGCTGTGGTGGACGACCACTCAGTCGTTCTTTCTTCCTCTCTTCCATCGATGTACCCGGCACAAGTGGCAGAGCTCGTGGCTTTAACACAGGCGTGTGCATACGCAAAGGGACGGTCTGTTACAATATTTACTGATTCCCGCTATGCATTTGGAGTGACGCATGATTTTGGAGCACTGTGGAAACATAGAAACTTTCTAAAATCAGACGGAAAACCAATTTTACACCACACACATGTTGCAGCATTGTTGGAAGCTATCTTGCTCCCATCTCAGATTGCAGTGTGTAAATGTTCTCCCCACACAGCTGCAACGGACTCTGTTTCATTGGGGAACGCTCGGGCGGACAGGGCTGCCGCTAAACAGCTTCTCCCGGCATCCTTCTCCCTGCCCCATGCTGTCCCCCCAGAGACCCCTCCTCTTTCCCCTCCCTCTCTGAAGGACCTCTGCTCACTCTCTTCCCCTGAAGAGCGGCGCACGTGGGCAGAGTCTGGTGCTGTTTTTCAAAATGGCGTCTGGGTAGGCCCAGATTTGAAGCCATGCCTTCCCAAAAGATTATTTAATTGTTATGCTAAGTTAACACATGGGTTGGACCATGTGTCAAAGGGGAATATGTTTCAAGCAGTCCAACAATTTTGGTTTACAAAAGGGTTTTCTACATTTGCCGCAGAGTTTTGCAGAAACTGTTTGATCTGTGCACAGAATAACCCGGGTAGGCCGAGGTCTCTGACACAAGCAGCTCACCCAGCTCCTACAAGACCGTTTGAACATGTCATGATGGACTTCATTGAATTAACACCCAGTGAAGGGAAAACATTTTGTCTTGTAATGGTGGATATGTTTTCAAAGTGGGTTGAAGCTTTCCCTGCAAAACATGCGTCCTCCGCTGCAGTAGCAAAAGCCATTTTGACTGAAATTCTTGTAAAATGGGGAATTCTTCAGAAATTGTCCAGCGATAATGGGTCGCATTTTGTTAATGAAGTGATAAAACAACTGTCTGATTATTTGAAATTTGATTTGAAAACTCACTGCAGCTATCACCCACAATCTGGTGGAGCTGTGGAGAGAGAAAATTTCACAATAAAATCAAAACTGGCCAAATGCTGTCAGGAAACAAAACTTAGCTGGCCAAAATGCTTGCCAATTGTCCTGATGTACATGAGAATGAGAGTGCGCACGCGTAACAACCTGTCCCCATTTGAGATTTTGTTTGCAGCTCCCCCCAACATAGGAATGGGACCTGCGGGACCTCAACCAGATGCCATCCTGTGCGAGGATGGCATGATAAGGTATTGTATAACCCTAACAAAGTCTCTTTCTGATATCAGAAGACAGGTGTCATCGGCCCTTCCCCAGCGTGCGGACCATCCACTTCACAACATCCACCCTGGCGACTTCGTCCTGATAAGGAACTTCAAGCCGAAGAGCTGGAATCACCATCGCTGGCTTGGCCCATTCCAAGTTCTCCTCGTCACTCACACCGCTGTGAAAGTCCAGGAGAGGCAGACTTGGGTCCACGCGTCGCACTGCAAACAAGTCCCAGCTCTTCTTGTGGAGCGTACAACGGAAGCGTAAGGAGGGGTACATCTTACCCCCTCCCAACGCGAAAGGAGGGTCACACACACACTACCCCCTCCCAACGTAAAACATTGTTAGAAATACATTGTTAGCTGCATCAGGAGAAAAGTGCTGGTAACTACACTCCCAGGGCATAGATGAGCAGAAGATAGGTAACACAAAGAAGATCAACAAGTGACAATCCAAGTCCATGATGCGCAACAACAGGGTGGTCGGTCCCTGGCATCCATTCAGGCAGCAGGGCCTTTGCGGGATGAGAAAGACTTTGTGTGTGCTCATGTTCATTTCCTTCCTCATTGTGTTTCCACTGTTATGGTTTGAAGGTTGGGAGAATAAAAAGAACAATCAAACACAGGTCGTTGTCAATTACAATTCTAACACCTCTTCATCTACATCGAAACGTGTGAAGAGGGAAGATGTGGCCGAATTGGATTATACGTGGTCACGTGTTTTGGCTCAGTCAATGAATCACACCAGTGTGTACACACTTAATTTGTGGTATCAATATGCAAAATTCTTTGCATATTGATGCAGAGTCACAAAATCGCTCAAATTGTTACATTTGTACTCATATGCCTATTGCATCATCAAACCCACACATCACACCTCTACCAATAGTTGATGCATTTACACATTTTCCAAAGATTCTGTCTCAACTGTCTCTGTTCATTTTTTCAATCAGACTGTCACAAGGCGCACAGGTAAATGTCTCCCTCCACTCAAACCGGCTAATGATTCTGATCTCTTCAATTATTGGTTTAATGATGTAGAGGGTCCAATTTTTGGTCCGGTACATATTAGACCTGGTACTAAATTTGTATGTTACACCTTATCCTTGACCATCACAGATTCTCCTATACAGATGGGATGGATCCCAATGTCATTTTGTTTAAATGTGTCTAATCCGTGCACTTCTTTTCATGGTAATTCTTCTCAGGCCGCTCCGGGTAGTACATGTTCACCATACTTCACGGTTCCTGACTCAACAGGAACTCTTCCTCTGAAGGGTGTTTTGTGGCTGTGTGGCTTCAATGTCTATGTGAAGCTACCATTTAATTGGATAGGTCGTTGTGCTCTGATGACAGCTTCAGATCACTCTTACAGTACATCATCTCTACCATTCCTAGATCGCGAGGTAAGCGCGATTTTGCTGCTCATGATGCAGTTTGGGGAACGGATGTTCCAGATGATCACAAACTGTGGACTAAGCCAACAAAGGTACTTCTCTCCTTGTTCCCCCAGTTCGGTGTAGGGAAGGTTATGCTTAGAATGGAAACTTTGAATTATCAGTTTTCAAGTTTTGTGAATTCAACTGTAACTATTCTAGAGGCCAACAGAGTAGAAGTAAATGCGTTGCGTGCCGTTGCTTTACAAAACAGGATTGTTTTGGATCATTTAGTTGCCTCAAGTGGAGGTGTTTGTGTCTTACTTAATCAGACCGCTTGTTGTACTTATATTCCTGATAACAGTGCCGAGGATGGGATCATTGCACAGGGTATTCGAAATCTGACTACTTTGCGCGATGCGGTTAACCGTGATTTTGTTCTAGATGCTTCATGGTTTTCAGACTGGCGAGCGTGGTTGATTCAAATAGGTACTGGACTTGGAGTAATATTAGTACTGCTAATAGTGCTGTCATGTTGTGTCATTCCTTTGATCCGTTCGTTGATCCGGCGTATGATCTCGTCGACACTCGTTCAACACACTTCTCTCAACCTGCATGTTGACTGTCTTGATGAGGACAGTGATCCATTTAGTGAGATGTTACTTGATGATTTTGAGTAAATTGGTTTGTATGTTTAACCCATTTTATGACGGATTTTCTTAAACCTACTAGGTGTGAAAATTTTGATGTTCCAGGGTTTGTGTTATATTTTACTTATATTTTTGGTACTCAATAGCATGTGTGTGATTGATTTAAGATAATCAATAGGGTGGATTGTCATGGCCAGATTCCCAGCATCAGGAGATTGTGTGATTATGTTGTGTAGCTGACAGATACATTTTACAGTTTCCCGATACTGCAGATTGTATTCCCATAACTCACTTTTGCATTACACAAAGACTCTATTGTCTTCAAACACAAAGGGACATTCTGCCATAAGACTCCGTGTGCTTTCTGTTGCTTTCCGCAGGTGGGCTAATCTCAAAAGTTCTCGCTGTACCTAATGTATCGGTCTCTGCCCATCTACCTTATCTTTCTTATCTGCAGCTGTCTACGACTCATCCCATTTTGCCCCATCCGTGACGTGTGCTCATTGTTCTCTGATTCTTGTCCAAGTATATTATCGAATGTGTGGAATGAGGAGCGCCAGAGAGAGACGGTACAGGCGATCGCATGGACCGCTTCTGTCTGACACTTCTCTGCACAGAAATGTCATAGATTGTATTCATCACCTCTGTAAATAAACTGCACAAAAGACAAGTCCTGTTTCCTCTCGGATTTATTCATTTGAAGCATTGGAATTTCCAGTACAGAACGCACGGCTGGTTCGGGCGTGAAGAAGGCCTGCGACGACGTGGAGCTGTACAAGATTCACAACCGTGAGCTGAGGGACCAGGTGGCCACCATCCCTCTGCTGAAGAAGAACCTGGAGAACATGCAACTCAAGGACAAGAAGCAGACACGGCAGCTCCAGGAAACACTCTCAGAGCTGGAAGAAGTCCAATGAGAAATATCGTCAGAATCAGACGCTGTTGAATAAGATGCAGAAGGCGGCGGACGCTGCAGAGATGGAGACCAACTCCATGCGGCGTGCACTGCTGAAGAAGTACAACGAGCAGACGCAGCAACGAGAGAAGATGGAGCAGCTGCAGAACCACATCATAGTCATGCAGAAGGACGTCACTGTCAACAAGAGAGACAAGGAGGCGGCAGACGAGTCCAAGAAGGCACTGATGGTGACCATCAGCGAGGGCGAGGACAATGTGAAGGCCAAGAATGAGGAGCTGGTGGCGGTGGCAGCGCAGGTGAAGGCGGTGGAGCACCGCGTCAGGCAGAAGACGCGCGAGGTTGCGGTAATCAACAACTAGTGCATTTACTTTCAGGGAAAGGTGTCCATGCAGGCCGCTCTGATCCAACAGCTCAAGAGCGAGAACCTTGATCTGCAAGACAAGATTGTGCAGCAGCAGGCGGCGATCGAGAGCACGTCCCACGCTCTGCACCTGACGCAGACTCAGGCCAATTCGTTACTGAAACACGTGGCGCAGATGACGGCGCAGGAGGAGATGATGCGAGCGGAGGAGTGGCTGCTGAAGGTGCAACTCGAGGACAACAACAAGCAGTTCAAAGCAGCCGCCAACAAGTTCCAGACCGAGCTGGCGGAGGCACAAGTGCCTCAAGGGCGGCAGTAGCTCAGTTGGTAGAGCGTTGGCCTTTGAGCCAGAAGGTCGTGGGTTCAAGCCCCGCTCAAGACTTTCACCATCGACTCCCACTGACTACTGTCGTTGTGTCCTTGGCAAGACACTTAACCTCTGGGAACACCAGCCACAGTGGGGCGGCTGCGGCTGTAAAGTGCCAAACTGCCGTTGTGTCCTTAGGCAAGACACTTCACCCCCATTGCCTAGAATGAGTCTGGTGTGCGTGTGAATGGTTGGTGGTGGTCGGAGGGGCCGATGGCACATACTGGTTGCCTCGCTTCTGTCAGTGTGCCCCAGGGCAGCTGTGGCTACATTAGTAGTTTATCACCACCGTGTTTGGAGTGAATGAATAATGACACATGTGAAGCGTCTTTGAGTGTCCAAAAAAGCGCTATATAAAACCGATGCATTATTATTATTATTATTATTAGTAAGCTGATTAAGTGCAGCACAACGCCTGCACGAGCGAGATCCACAAGCTGAAAAAACTCGTCAGCTCCTTGAAGTCGTCCCAGTCCAGAGCCGAAGCCGAAGCAGCAGAACTCAGAACGCAGACAAAGGTTCTGAGGTCAGAGGTGAAGGAGGAGAAACTGGGCAAAGAGATGGTCATTTACAAGACTGCAAGAAAGACCCAGCTCTTCCACAGGTACAGGAAGAAGATGGCAGACAAACGAGAGCTGTTCTCGACTATGACCACGATGCTAAACTCTAAAGTATTCTCTGTGCGTACGAGCCCGACCCACAGCAAGCAGGAAGTGGCAGAGCTCAGGCGGGAAAACCAGGAGCTGAAGGAGAAGCTGGAGAACCGCCCGGACGAGCCGTTCAAGCAGTTGTACTGGGCCAAGAAGACCATCAACAAACAGCAAGAGAAGATCACGCTGCTGAAGGCCGAGTGCATGATGTACTACGATCTGAGCACCCGCAAGAAGGAGGAGAGTGAGGCGCTGCAGCAGGAAGTGGCCCGGCTCAAGCAACAGGAAGTGACCCGGCTGAAGCATCAGGAAGTCACCCGGCTAAAGCACGAGGAGCCAAATCAGAGAGCACACACGCTGACCAGAACCAGAATCCCAGCGGTTCACGCAATACCAGTGTTTAATGATAAAGGTCTGATCGTGAGCGGGATAGTGATGGGAGGAGGGACACTCAAGGGGAAGAAGCTGGTCCATAAGAAGTCAAGTCTGGAACCAAACCACATCTAAGAAACATCCTCCAAATATAGGTCCATGCGGGTCAAATGCAGACAACAGAGAACCCTAAGCAATCAATAAAGTCTTGCACTTATTAGGCCCGAGCCCCTACCTATTGCTTTCCCAACGTGTAATGCCTGGACCCAGGCATTACTTATTGTAACTGTCATAAATCACAGTGACCTGCATGCGACGGCACGTGTCCAAACACTGATAAATCTGTGTGGCTTTACTCCTGCTGTAGTAAACAGTGAAATGATTGAGTGGTGATTAAAGTGGAGGGTTACTTCAACTGTCTTACAGACAGTTGAAGTAACAGCTTTGTCCTCCAAGCCCGACAGTGCGTGCCCAGACACTGATAATTCAGTGTTGGAGGCACTGAATGTCTTTATTCCTCCTGTACTACACAGTGAAATGATTGAGGTCCTGGCAGCACGGTGGCTGAGTGGATAACACTCTTGCCTCTCAGCAAGAAGGTCCTGGGTTCAAATCCCAGTCGGACCAGGGCCTTTCTGAGTGGAGTTCGCATGCTCTCCCCATGTACAATAGAGGTTTTGCACCACCACGTGACCTACATAGCAACCGTCACTACGTCGCCATGTTGGATGGCTCTATACAGTCAGATTCAACACTGACCGGGAACACACCTTTACTTTGACTGATGGGACATTTTTGCTGCATTTTTAAATGTGGTAAACGATCGGAGCGAGAAGAAGTCTATTTTTTTTAAATACCGGTGTTCTATCGAGTTGGTCTGCCCGTCGAGATGAGCTTCCTCAGCTGTTAATGTTATGCAAACCTGCGCATCTCACGGCAGCCAAAGCAAATCAAGATGGACATGAAGTCCGCGAATTGCTTCAAAAGTTAAAATACGAACGTCACTATTGATGCAATTGCGAGATGTTGATGGTTCCGTGTTGTTATAGGTGGGTTTGAAGAGTAAGAGTTTTGTGTAAACTTTGTTTTAAGCAGTCAACTGCTCCTGTGAAACCACACTGCTACTGTAACCCAAATCTTATTTGCGCATGGGCAGAAACCCCACAGAATGGGTAAAAAACTCGATCTAATAAAAATATTTCGTTTGAACACACTATTGTTCGTGGACTTTAGCTCTGCCTTCAACACAATCCTGCCATCCCTGCTCCAGGACAAGCTCTCCCAGCTCAACGTGCCCGATTCCATCTGCAGGTGGATCACTGACTTCCTGACAGACAGGAAGCAGCGAGTGCGTCTGGGGAAGAATGTCTCGGACTCTCTGATTATAAATACAAGAGCCCCACAGGGCTGTGTTCTTTCTCCCCTGCTCTTCTCCCTGTACACCAACCACTGCACCTCCAGCCACGACTCCGTGAAGCTGATCAAGTTCGCGGACGACACCACCCTCATTGGACTCATCTCCAACAACGATGAGTCCGCCTACAGGAGGGAGGTGGACCGGCTGGTGTCCTGGTGCAGTGGTAACAACCTGGAGCTGAACGCCCAGAAGACAGTGGAGATGATTGTGGATTCAGGGAGAGGACTGTCCCCCGCCCCCACCCTCCCTGATGGACTCCCCCATCACCTCTGTGGAGTCCTTCCGTTTCCTGGGCACCACCATCACCCAGGACCTCAAGTGCCAACCATCAGCTCCCTCATCAAGAAGGCCCAGCAGAGGATGTACTTCCTGCGGGAGCTCAGGAAAGCCAAGCTGCCTGCACAGATGTTGGTGCAGTTCTACACGGCCATCATCGAGTCCATCCTCACCCCCTCCATCACCGTGTGGTTTGCTGGAGCCACAGTCAGGGACAAACAGAGACTACAGCGCATTGTGCACTCTGCAGAGGAAGTGATCGGCCGCAGCCTTCCATCGCTGCAGGACCTGTACGTCACCCATTAAAAGTGACATTCATGTCTGAATTAGTTTGTATTTTAACTTTTAAAGCAATTCGCAGACTTGATGTCCGCCATCTTGGTTTGCTTCGGCTGCCGTGAGACGCATGCACAGGTTTGCATTAATTCATTAACAGCTGAGGGAGCTCATCTCGACGGGCAGACCAACTCAACATAACACCGGCCAAAAATAGCCAAAAAGGAAAAGAAACTCTAAACCTATCAAGAAAAAAGACGGCAGCAGTGGTTAGCAAGCTAGGATTGGTGAGGATACAGTTCAAAACTACGAAATCGATAACGTGTTTTTTCTGTTCTTGTCATTTTCACCGAGGTTAGTTGTTCCAATAAAAACATTGAGTTGCCGTAAAAAGCCGGTCAGTGACATGCGGTTGGTGACTGAGTCAGTGCGACTTCATCACAATCGGATTTAAAGCTGCACTAACTGACTTTATCTTTGTATTCAATACGAAAATGCATACAATATCCATGCAATGCATTGGGATATACGTCCTTTTGAAGAAAAAGAAGCGCAGATTTGTGCCGGCGTTTCATTTAATTTTAGATCGAGTTTTGGTGAAACAAGGAAGAAAATGGATTTCGGGTCCCGATTGTGACCAATCACAGCGGACCACTGGCCCCCAGCGAAACATCCATTCAAAAGAAAGTCTTGTCCTCTCCGCGCTTCCCGGTTCAGTCTTTCTATGGTCATGCCATCCACGTTCAAATGTGCAATCCATACATGGATCTATCCATGTGACGCTAGCTCTATAAACAACAGCGGGTGTGGGGTAGTGGGCGATGGCTTTGTGGGTGTAGGAAGGGGAGGAAAAAGAGCAAGGCCAGCAAAACCGCTGCTTCGAAATCCCAGTCAGTTAGTGCAGCTTTAACGCTACATTTAATGAAGTGGTGTATATGGTATGACCATAACATACTTTTAAATGTGCTGTTTACTTTGGCGTTTTGTTTGAGTAAACAATGCGGACCATGTGTGAATAATCCGCTCTCTATGTCCTGTTGAAATGTAGCATTATCTTATTGCGATGAAGTCAGTGTCTCAGTCACCAATTGCATGTCACTGACAGGCTTTTTATGCCAACTCAATGTTTTTTATCAGAACAACTAACCTTGGTGACATCTCTATAGAGACCTGCCATCCAACATGGCTGCGTAGTGACGGTTGCTATGTAGGTCACATGATGGTGCAAAACCTCTATAGTCAGTTCCTAATACAGAAACAGACGGAAGCAGTGTTATTTTTTCTGAAATAGGTCGTATTGAATCAGAATCAGAATCATTTTTATTGCCACGTAAGTAACAGGAAGTCACAGACTTGGAAATTGCTTTGGCTCAGTGCAACGGCGAGAAAGAGATAATAAAAAATAAAGAATAAAAAACACTTCTAAGGAATAAATTTAAATTTAAAATAAAGTTACAATTACTATTTACAATTGTTGCTCCTGGCAGTGTGTTCACAACCCCTGAAATGAAATATATTTGCCTCTCAACATGTAACAGTGTGTTGTTTTCTCATTTTGGTATGGCCCCGTGCTTTCTCTCTGTAAATGTCAGATGGTAATCGGAGCAGACACGGTGGATCCTCTCTGCCGTATCAGCGTGCGTGGCAATCGTCTTTCCACTGAACAGCTGCATTTTTATTCAAAAGCACAAGCAGACACAAACTCCAACGCATCCATCTCCTTTGACACAATAGAGCCAGCGCATCGCCATGGTAACGCCCTAAAGATACAGCTGTGTGTGTGTGCGTGCGTGCGTGTGTGTATAGTGTGTGGCTACAGTAGGAGTGACCGACCTGGGCACTTAAATCTGGGGTACCTTTTATTATATACTGTAAATAAAATTATCCTATCATTGTTCTTATTTTTAGATACTGTTTACTTTGATGTTATTTTTATTGTGAAATACTATGCAAGCTACTGTGACAACGCAAATTCCCTTTTGGATCAATAAAGTCTGTCTAAGTCTAAGTCTAAAGTCTTTGAAACCACAAAAATTAGCCGTACAATAAAATCCATGTGACTAGTTCCTGAAGCTCTCAAAACACTTGAATCCAGTGGTTTTTGTCTTAATTGGAGGACATTCTGACTGTCTTAAAACAAGATTTACCAATGTGACAAAGCCATTTAGTCTTTTTTCAATAACTGCTGTTTAAAAAAGATACAAGAAATGAGAAAATAAAGCAAAAGTTCTTGAAATAAGTGGTTTTGTCACATTGGAAAGTCTTGTTTTAAGTTAGTCAAAATGTGCTCATGCTAAGATACATTTTGCAGAATTTGAGGAATTTATGGCTTATTTTTTATGTAATCACTTTTTGCAGTGCTCTAGTTTTCACACGCACATATTTTTGGCCTCTGTCACATCTTACATCAGCTTTTTCAGTGACAAAGTGAGGACAAACCCTCACTCCGACCAATCAGCTCTCAGTATGTGAAATAGCAAAAGTTTCATAACACAAAGACAGTGACAATACACAAACTCACTATTTGATACACACATTTAATTTTTTAAGTGACATAGGATTCTTACAAGTATGCAGAAGAAGTTTCATTCTAATAAGATTAAGATGGTATGGAGGGGGGTCTGATTTTACTTTACATTATACACAAGGTACCCCAGCTCTAAATCACAATGGAGTGAGTTATGTGTGTGTTGTTCTATAAGCCAATATATTAATAACATGTTGAGACTTGGAGATTTTTGCTTCATTCTACTAATGTTAGTCTTGGTGGTTAATTCCGAGCAAAGGACATGCCAAAGGTGCCTTCTGTTGAGTGACATTTCTGGTAAATGTCATCCTTATAAATAGGTTTGTAGCGATCTGGTGGGAAATTGCACGGGCAGATAATTGATTGCAAAGTGTGACAGCCCAAATGCCAAAAAGAAGCAACGTGAACCAGCTATTACAAGTTACTGAGAGAAACTTGCATCAGAGAAAGAGTTTTTGAACTGAACATTTTCTGGAAACCAACAGGAAAACTTTGAAAATGGTAATGCACAATTTCTAAGTGAGGTTGTTACGAGTTTGGTTCCCATTGCGGTAAAAGGCCATTCTAAAATCTGATTGAAAAGTAAAATGGAGGACTCAAAAGACTGTTTGTCAGAGGACACTGAACAATTCCTCTCTC